TGACCAGTGTTTCTTTGCTTTCTTTAAGGACAAAAAAGAAAGGGGAAGGCACACAAATACAACTCGGAGCGGAAAAGGGATTTCCTTTGGTTAACATTCAGTGAACATGACAAACGTCTATTCTATACATGGGTGGGGTGGCTGTGGCTCACGAGGTAGGGCAGTCGTCTCCTGACCAGCAAGTTGGTGGTTCGACTCCCGGTCTCCCCGCATGCCTAAGTGTCCCTGAGCAAGACACTGAACCCCGAATTGCTCCCGGTGGCTTGATTAGCGCCGTTGTGTGGCAGCTGTCGTCATCGGTGTGTGAATGTTCTGGGTGAATGGTGTATCATCTCTGTAAAGCGCTTTGGCCAGTGTAACACACTGTGGAAATGCGCTATATAAATACAGTCCATTTACCATATACATGGTGCAGAGACAAAATCAAAATGGGCAGTCTTCCCATTTAAATGTGATAACATAGTACTTCACATCTCCATCCTCTGGCATAGTTGCTCTCCATGAAGTAAAGGCCAAAATGCATGGGGCATCTTGTATCACTACGGAGGAACTCCCCATCTCCAAGTTCAGGCCCTTGATTATGCTATTTAAAAAATAAAATAAACTAAACAAAAAGAGGAGCAGATATCACTCTCTTACAAAAGTCAGAAATGATTTCTGATTTCATCTGAAATAAAGTTCCACCTGGCACTGACAACTCAAGACGCCGCTGCGCGTCTGGCATGGTCAGGGGGACACAGACGCATCTAACAAAACAATGCAAAATGGTCATGCTTCAGCTGTGTGCTGAGTGATTCAGGAGAAGGTGTAGTTTACCGTTTCAAAATATTCAACCACGACACATTGCCAGAGAGTCCAGGTGATCTGTTATGGGAGTGCAGAACTTCAGTCCCTTCTGCAACATTATAGGTGAACTCCTCAGACATTGAGATGATATGGCAATGCAGCAAATTCTCATTTGAGTATGAATCTAAAGAGAGGTACTACCAAGATCAAATGTTGTGTTTCTCACATTTCTCATGTCTAAATGTTCCCTTTATGTTATGCTTCTTATGTCTAACTGTTCTCTGTACAACCCCCACATCCACCCCACCCACCCCCAGTCTATCTCCCTGTATTGGCAAAGTGGTGGATGCCAGACTGAACAGGTCCACCAGGAATGGCAGCAGCTGAAATCTCTGATCAGGACCACATTTACAGACAAATCTTACCTAGGACTGTGGCAGACACATCTCATCAATGAGCCACATTGTTCAGATTTTAAAGGTATATATAGTATAATTAAACATTCTTCAGAATCTACCAATCAACTCTATTGAATCAATAAGGAGTTTTACTTGGTTATTTTTATTTCAGAACTTCCTACATTTGGCTGAAATCCTCCTTGTGATGCCAGTCTCCTCAGCTCTGTATCAGTAGAGGTTCTCTGAACCACAGTGAATCAAGAACACTACAGCCTCCATCTCCACTACTGAGGACTTCAGGACCCCAGCCAAGTAGCAGCAAAATGGCTGTCCTCCTCCAAGAGGGCCAGGAAGCCACTGTTAAAGAAGTGGTCAGAGGTCGTGCGAACTCTGTGACTCACACAAACACAGACGCATTCATCTCTTATCCTCTCACCCCCACCCCTCACATTTGTCTTGCCTCTTCATCTCATTGGAGGGAAGAGGTATTTCTGGCTGTCTATCTGCAGTCAGAAGGAGACTGAATAGTGACTTGTCTCAGTGCCCATTATCTATAGCCTAGATTTTACAGTCATTACTGAGCCTATATTGTGACTGGCTGTCAGTGGTCAGCTAATTAGGAACGCCAGTCTAAAACTAAACCAGTCTAATCTACGGTCCTGCAGTAGAGCCGCTGTGTGTGGTCATTTTAGAGACTGTGGTCTGTTCTGCTGTTGGACTGTGCTGCCTTATACAGACAGGAGTTTCTGTAGGGGGAAACTCCACTGTCACGCAGTAGCTATACAGGTAATTATCAATGTCTAGCATCAGGTTCTAGTTGTATAGCCATTAAACTGGTTGTTATGCACTTGCTTACTACTGTAGCATCTGTAACACTCCAGCTCTACAGACGTGGGTAAAGTTAGAAATGGCTTGTGTTATTTCCCTTAAACCACAAAGTAACTGTTCAACTGCTCTGCCATATAAATGAGACTGATTAAGATATAATCATGAGTAAAAAGTGATTAAGAAACCCGATGAATACCAATTTAAAGAAGTAAAATAAACTGTTTACTTTGTGTTTAAATTTCTATCACTGTTTGTCAGTCGGAAAGTTTGGATTTATAGTGTAGTTATGTAGTTGATGCATTTACTGAGCGAACAGATTACACTAACGATAACTCAACCAATGGCTAAAAGAAGCAGGTTATAAATAAGGATCACTGAAGCTCTTATTCAGACATAATCTCAGCGAATAAGTAGCAGAGCTCTGATGGTAAGTTATGGACACTTTGTGAACTACTGAAACAAGATATTAGACAGAGGCTTTTTATAATAAATAATGTAAATGAGGGACTTAATCTGGAACAATGGTTGTTAGGCTTGGAACAGTTTACATCTTTTTCCCTAGCACAGCATATTTACTGTACAGTTTGAACTGGACACATGCCAATTTAGGCCATTTCCACACTTGACTGACAATATACTTTATACAAACTGGTCTGAATTGAATATTAGTGTCTGTGAGTCAGTGAGTATTGTGTGCTTTAAGTGATTCATGTGTAAACAATCTGACCACTTAAAAATAATACCTGTGTGTCACTAGCAAAATAAAACCTTACTGTGCAAACATCGCACAACACTGCAGACAGGACACAATGTACCAGCCCTTGAAATGCTATTCTGTAAAGTGAGTAAGGTCAAAAGTCAAAGCTTGACACCCAGGGACTTATCACTCAGCAGGTTACAAGTGTTTAGAGTAGGGGTGCACCGAACTTTTGGCCACAGAAAATTTTCGGCCGAAAAGGCCATTTTTATTTTGGGCCAGAATAAAAATAATAAAGAAAAAACATGCAGAAAATGCCCCGCCCCGCCCATCCTCACACAGCACAGGTTAGGTTTCACTCACACTGGAGCCGTTATATCATGCGTCTCCCCATCAACGACAAAGCATGTCAGCGGTATGGAAGCATTTTGAAGTTTCAGGTGAGGACACCAAAGTTGCAATGTGCAACATTTGTTCTGCGAAAATATCAAGAGGAGGTACAGTGCCAAAGAACTTTTCGACAACAGGTTTGATAAGCATGTTTTAAAAATTTGAAGTTTTTAAAAGAAGCCATGTTTGGTTTCGTTTCGGTTTTCGGCCAAGTGCATCCTAAATTTTCGGTTTCAGTTTTGGCCCATAATTTTCATTTCGGTGCATCACTAGTTTAGAGAGCATACTATGGTAATAGGTAGTGTAGTTTTGGAGTCTACTTGCTTAAGAAAATCCTCACAGGGCAGGGTTTTCCCCAGATTTCCAGATGGCTTAGGCACTGACATGGTTGAGAGGGAATTAAAGATTCTGTGTTCTCTGTAGCCTCAACCCTCCATTATGTAGCACACAGGACACACTCCCTTCTCCTTGCCCCTCACTCCTCAGCTGCACTTTTTACAAGGAATTTGTTTCCAGTACAGAACCGAGGCAGCCATCTGTGGTGCCAACTCAACCAATGGCTCTAACCAACGGGGGGGTTTTCAGTGTCTTGCCCAAGGACACTTTGACATGTGGACTGTAGGCACCAAGATTTGAACCACCAACCTTCCGGTTGGGAGATTACTGCTCTACCCACCGCACCACTGTCACCTTCCCAAGACTAACACCAACTAGTTAACAACAAAACTGACAACATTGGCAAGATGTTAACATTTTATGTTACTGTCATTCTTTAAGATTTTTTTAATTTTAGGAATTAAATAAACTATCAATATGAGTATCAATTAATATTGTTATTGATAACCAGTATCAGCGATAGCCAACCCAAGTCATTGTCCGAAGCTGCAGGATGACTGCAGTTCACTGTACCTCCTGATTAAGCTCAGTAGCCACAAGTAGTACAAAATCCTTTATTATTCACTATTTGGGATGCACATTTTCAGTTTTTTTTCTGACCAATAGCTGACACTCATTAACTGACCATTAACTGTTAACCGACAAGATTAAAATGCCAGGCTGATTAGAACGGACAAGTGTCTGTGACCCATTAAAAAAAATACTTTTTCCCATAAGGGGTTTCTTTTTACATGTACTGTACAAATATGGCATAAACAACAACAAATCATGAACAGAACAGACGCACATCATCACATCACACACCTGGAACTGTGAATCGAGTAAAGCAGCCTTGTAAAATAGCTTCTGTGCCGTTGACGTGAGGCAGCTTGCATTACTTTAGGTGCATGTAACATCGTGTTAGGCGTTACCTCTTTTCAATCCGCACTGCGCCTGTACACCAAAGAGTAAAATCCAGAAGTGCTGGCACTGCTTATACCTGCACATACCAGTCCACTGTGAGCACTGATATTAACTGAAACACACACTGCAAATCTTCAGTGTCAAGAAGATTGACCCCCCCGTGCCATTAAAATATGCCAAGTTAGCAGTTCCTGTTTGCAATGTACCCATAGACACACAGATTACTACATATAACGTTTCTTAGCCCAGATGGGATTGTTTACTTAGGACATGTTCAAGTATCAGGTAATAAACTTAACTTAGTGGCATTTTTTGCTGGTATGTGACTTTTTGTACACTGGTAATTTGATCTTTGAAATTCTTTTTTTAAAAAAAAAAAAAAAAAAAAAAAAAAAAATACTATTTATAAGTAGTTTTAGTTAAGAAAATGAGATTTCTCTCTAGTGTAGCTGTGCTGTAGTTCAACATCTCCCAGTATGAAGTACTTGGTAGCTTGCAAAGTTATGCTTTCAAAGTAGCTTTCCCAGCATGCTTTTGTGTGTGTTTTGGAGTCAATTATGTAAAAATTAAATAAGGGGGAAAAAATAAACAAAACATTTTACCTCATAAGACCAGACACACTGGACCCCGGCAAACCTCCTGACACACCGGCCCACCTCCACATCTTCATGGGTGGTGTACATCTCCTGCAGACACTTTCGGATGTGGGGCACCATCCTCTTGAGGACCTCACGGCTCATGATGACCCCTGGCCCCCCCATGCAAAAGTTCTCTCCAGGCTCCAGAGCCAGTTTCCCCAGCTCGTCCCGGGCCCCCATGCCTGTTTGGCCCAAGAAGATAGCCTCGCTACTGTTGAGGCTGCGCAGAAAGCTCTCCAGCTTCTCACTTTTGATGTAGACATCATCATCAGCCCTCATAAACCACTCGTACTTGTCCAGATAATGGTCATGCATGTACTTGAGCATCATGAATGACTTCTTCTGAGGTGGGTATGAGTCATCCACATTCTTCAGAGCCACTATGGGAATGGGTATGGAGGTGTCTGAGTCATCACTGGAGAAGAACTCCACGTGACCTGGAATTGTCTGTGCCCATGTCCTGTAAGCAAACACACACACACACATACAGATGGATGAAGGCAGAAAAAAAGGTCAGAAAAAAAACAAATGCAGCAGCTGCAGCCCTCCGTCAGTATCACATTGAATCCATCCTGGCACAGATTTGCTGTGAGCTCCATGCTCTCACATATCAATTCACAATTACTACAGTTACACAAGTCAGGAGAAAAAAGGCTTAAAGTGCAAAAATATGCTTGACTTAACAGCTACATACTTAAAATGTAAGTGACATTATCTGTGAAGCAGCTGCTGTAGACAGCTGCACTGTTTGAAAGGCAAGAATTACCAGAAAAAGGATAGAGACATGAACAGAAATTCTGGTTCCTTTATACAAATTTGGGTTCCTGCATACACAACTGTCCAAACCATGTGAAATGGGCAAAAACCAAACCAAACCAAAAAACATTAATGCAATTCAAATCAGTGGTCCATCCTCTGGGGAAAACTATTTTCCTTATTTTACACTGACATTCTCCTAATACATCACAGGAAACAACAAATAGCCACACACAACTTCTGAGTACAACTACAAATCTTAAAAATTTGGGACAGTATGTAAAATTAAACCTGAAAAAAACAGTGATGTGTAAATCATCTGTGTCCTGTATTACCAGGGTACGTATATACAGTAATCCTTAAGTTAAATTTAATACCTTTTTTACTACCTTCAGGGTTTGTTTTTTTTAAACCATCATGACATTGAGTTTCAAGTGTTAATCAGCGACCGTATTAACGTTGAAGCAGATTTTGACATATATAACACTATACACAACAGAATAGATTTAGAGACTCACTGATGTTGATCACATATTGCACACATTTATTTCACTTCGTGAATAAAAATAAAACATAAAATGTGCAATGAAGAAAACAGTTCCAGCACACTGGCTGGCATTCGCTGCTACAAACTGCATCTGCCATATGAACTGGTGAACTGCTATCATTTGATTTTAACATAAACCTGTGCTATAGGCCTAATATGAACTCATGGATGTCAAGCTGTTTTTTTCTTTGACACCTGACTGAGGCTCTCATCAAACATCAACACGAATAGTCCAGCCTTGTTGATGCCATCGACAAGCTGTTTTTTGAACAATGCTAATCAAAATCTGATGATATACCCGGTTTTGTCTTTACCACACGTGATTGACTTCGCGATGTCAGTCGGGAAACATTTCTTTAAACAGCTCCGCAATTCCTTCATTGAAGTTCAATGAGTGGTGCTTAACTGCAGTGTTTAGACACCACAAAGCCTCCGCGCGCAGTGTTTGTGTGGCACCCATTGTCACCCGGAGGTCAGACGTAGTTGCTGGAGCCATAACGTTGGCTTGTGTGGCACTAGTTGACAGTGGTGGTGGTGCAGCAGCACAGAAAGTTGAGAGTAGTAGAATTAATTGCTCTCGCCGACCGCGCATTCCATTTTTGTTTAGTGGGTTGCATATGCGACCGAAGTGCGTTAGCTCCCATCCAGTTGATGTTGAACCGAACAATAAGCCTGCCGGTTATTCCCTACTGCAGGCCTGAGCCAGTCCTTAAACACTGGGTCTTCCAACCAGCTGTCAGAAAACTTGCATTTGCCCACGACGACGACGATGGTTGTCTGAACGTTGAAGATGTGCCTAAACTAGTCAAAAACGTAAGCTAGCCAGTTGGCTATCCAGTTGAGCTGAGCGCGCAAAGTGTTTGAGATGTCGAACGACCAATGAATATGACGTCATCACCAGAATTGAAGTGAGTGTTTATTATACTGAGAATACAACTGATGAGGTATCACATCAAATAATGTGCTGCTGTGTTGTTTTCAATGTAATACAGGACACAGATGATTTACACATCACTATTGTGATTTTTAATTTGCATTTTACATACTGTCCCAACTTTTTCTGAGTTAGGGTTGTACTTCAAAGTACTGAAGTAGACGTCTTCAATGAGAGATGACCTTCTTCAGTCAGCCAATGAACAGAAAACAAATAGTCATTTTATGAGTCTGACTCATCATGCCAACAACAATTTTAGAGGCATTGAAACCAACCGATTAATATTTTTTATAAAGAATGGGAGCTTACAGTGCTGTCCTGTCAAGTCAGTGAAGTATGTTTCTACTGGATCTAATTCACTTTCCTCACTACAACTGCTAGAAAGTGATGCAAAACAAAGTCCATAAAAGCTGATGAAAGCAGGACAGCACATGCTGACATGGGTGCCTGTACTGTCAATTATCATAGTTTTCATAGTTCTAAACAACTGCCTTATTGGACAGGGTGTCACAACAGAGAAAGGCTGCAGCAGTGCTTGAAGATTCTCACTGATAAACCTTTAAGTCAAACTTTTCTCAGCATGACTGCATGATTGTAAATTATAAGAAATCTTCACAGTTGCTCCCAGTCATGGGTGACTGGGAGCTCAGTCACCCATGAGGAACTCAGTAGAGCCGCTGCTCCTCTACGTTGAGCGGAACCAGTTGAGGTGGCTCAGGCACCTGTTTAGAATGCCCCCTGGACGCCTCCTCAGGGAGGTATTCCAGGCATGTCCCTCTGGGAGAAGGCCTCAGGGCAGACCCAAAAAACACTTCAGAGACTATGTCTCCCAGCTGGCCTGGGAACGCCTTGGGGTTCCTCCTGAGGAGCTAGAGGAGGTGGAACTCTGGGAGGCTCTGCTCAGACTACTGCCCCCACGACCCAGTCTCGGATAAAGCGGATGAAGATGGATGGATGGATGGATGGACAACTCTTAACTTCTAAAAACAACACTGTAATTCAAGTCAAACTAGGATTCTGTTATTACATTCCCCAGCTAAACGCCTTTCTACAAAGCTCTGGAATACTATGGACTATATGTGGCTTTTCTTATATAGGGTCCCTTTGACTCACTCGGACATTAAGCGGACGTTGTACTAGGGAGCTGACGCAGTCAAGTCTACTTAAGACCCGGACCTCCGCATGCTCACATCCAGCTCCTCCGGGTAATGTTTAGAGAATTCCAGGGTTCCAGTGCTTGACTGAAAAGGGCTTAAATGTCAGCAATGTGACAGACTGACTGATACCTTTATGGGCTTTCAGTGATTTAAAAGATGGTGGCGGGTACAGAGAGAGCTCTCGCGTGAGATACTTTTTGTTTGTTGTTGTTCTGATCATACTTCGAGAATTTTGCCCAGGTAGATCAAACGTATAGTCGTGAATCCCTGTTACAAAATGCAACAACAACTGCCCGATAAGTCTCTACATAGCCACCAGATCCCAGCAGAAATGGCCAGATTACCGGGGCCTGCTGGGATGATCATACCGAGTGGCAGGCGGTGAAGGCAGCAGAGGGAGCATAAGCAGAAGCTGGGGCTGCCAGGGCAACGCTCTCACTCGGTTAAGGAGGAATCCTGATAGACCACCGCTCCCCAGTCTCTTCATTTCCAAAATCAGGCCTCTTAACAACAAAATGGATGAATTGCGACTTTGTTTAGTATCACGGTCACTCGCTGATAATCACTGAGACCTGGATACACTCAGGAGTCCCAGACACAGCTATTGAGTTAGCCAGCCGCGCTAGCCACCGCGGCGACAGGAATGGCGACCCCGGTACGACACGTAGGGGTGGACTATGTGTTTACACTAGAAACAGCTGGTGCAAAAACACTGCCATTGTTGAAAGTCACTGCTGCCCGGATTTGGAGCACCTGGCAGTTAAATGTAGACCTCACTATCTGCCACGGGAGTTCTCTCCTGTGGTTGTCATAGCAATCTACATACAACTGGATGCTAACACGAGCTCAGCGCTTGGCTACATGCTAACAGCTATAAACAAACATCCATCCATTTTCCTCCACTTATCCAGAACTGGGTCGCGGGGCCAGCAGTCTAAGCAAAGATGCCCAGACTTCCCTCTCTCCAGACACTTCCTCCAGGAGAATGCTGAGGCGTTCCCTGGAACACCTCCCTAGGAAGGTGCCCAGGAGGCATCCGAAACAGATGCCCGAGCCACCTCAGCTGGCTCCTCTCGATGTGGAGGCGCAGCGGTTCTACTCTGAGCTCCCCCCGGGTGAACGAGCTCCTCACCCTATCTCTAACGGGTGCGCCCGGCCACCCTGCGGAGAAAGCTCATTTCGGCCGCCTGTATCCGGGATCTTGCCCTTCCGGTCATGACCCATAGTTCATGACCATAGGTGAGAGTCGGAACGTAGATTGATCAGTAAATCGAGAGCTTCGCCTTACAGCTCAGCTCCTTCTTCACCACGACGGACCGGTACATCGACCGCATTACTGCAGAAGCTGCACCGATCCGCCTGTCAATCTCCCGTTCCATCCTTCTCTCACTCATGAACAAGACCCCAAGATACTTGAACTCCTCAACTAGAGGCAAGGAACTCTCCACCAACCTGAAGGGAACAAGCCACCCTTTTCCGACTGAGAACCATAGCCTCGGACTTGGAGGTGCTGATTCTCATCCCAGCCGTTTCACACTCGGCTGCAAACCGCCCTAGTGCACGCTGGAGGTCCTGGCTTGAGGGAGCCAACAGGGCGGCATCTCCCAGAAGC